CTCCGACACTGAGAATTTAGAGGATGGGGTCCCCTGAGCTGCACCACGTTGGATTTTGATATTGAGACTGATTTCAACGATGACCATAGTGGGATCTGTTTCTAAAGCCAGGGTTAAGATTATCCTTGTATGTAGCCGCTCAAGTGCATAAGCCACAACCCGGGAGTGATGTCGGTTAGTTTTTTAAACCAGGGAGTAGGGAGAACTGGCAGATCCAGCCCCTGAAGGTGGCAGGACAGCCAGAGACTCCAGTGATGGTCAGAGCACTTGTCCTGGGAGAGCTGACCAGCAGGACTGTGGCTCTCAGGAGGGGTGTTTATGGCCCTTGGAACTGTGGGAAACAGCAGTTTAGACCACTTTTGAATGTGGCTAACATGAGGCCTGACCCTGGTCACACTTTGGGGCTGGTGACAGGTGAGTTCAAAATGATCTTTTCTCCAGATTAGGGATGGTAAGATGGACAAAGGGTGTGATTGCTGGGCCCATGTAGGGTGTGGCTCCAGGTCCTCTGTGGTGGGCAGAACCACTGGGCCCCCCATCCTGCTGCCCTCCTGGGCTAAGCAGGTAGCAGGTTCTCCCTATCCCTCTCCTGGCGTTGGATCCACTCCCCAGGGGTGGGACTGGACAGAATTCCCAACTGTATCTGATCCCGGGACCCGAGCCTGGCATCTGGGAGGCGGTATTAGGCCAGGTGGATGCAGAGGAGCCCTTGAGTGGAACCGGCAAGTGCCCAGATGCCTTTCTGCTCTCCAGGTGGACCGGGTCAGCTACCTGCTGCAGGAGATCTATGGTATCGAGAACAAGAACAACCAGGAGACAAAGGTATGTGCTGGTGGTGAGCATGCACTGGGCCTCCAGGCCAGCCTCACTCCCCAGCTTCCTTGCCACGTGAATGGAAGCAGGCTCATGGGAGTGGTTTGCCTGGGGTCCCCCAGCCATGGCCAGAGCCCCGCAGGTAGTTTGGTCGATAAGCCAGTTCCCTTCCACACTTTCTCCTGGGGGCCCCAGACTCCATCATTTTTTATGGAATTTTTAAGAGTTAACAGAGTCTACAGGACATTTTGTTCTTTTTCCAGCAAATTCACTGACTTGTTACCATCACTGGGCTGCTGGCCATCACGTCAGCCAGGGCAGCCTGGGCCCGCGGGGTCCCCTCTTCCCTGATCGGGCTTACCCAATATTGCCTTGGCCTTTCTATTCTCACAATCAGCAGTTCACTGCCTCCTGCTGGCTTTCTCCTCCCCAGATCAAGCCTCTGCGGTTATGCGCAGGGAGGGATGCGCCTTCCTATGACTGTGACAGAAGCAGGGTGTCCGACAGCTGGATCTGGCACAGCCAGGGAAGGGTAGCAGAGAACTGTGCCTTCGTCAATGTTTTTAAAGGCACACTGGCACAGATGAAACTGCTGCTGCTTTTTAAATCTCCAGAAGTTTCACACCAGCTGGAACAAGCCAGAAGCAGGAGGACAGGGCCGTTTGGCCAGGCCCCGAGCCTCAGAGGAGCAGTCTGCCCAGTTTGTGTGTTTTACACAGGCTGGCAGACTTTCTGTAAAGCGTCAGATAGTGAATATTTTTGACTTTACTGGCTCTGAGGGTGTCTGCCACATCTATTCGACACTGCCATTGTAGCATAGAAGCAGCTGCAGGCATTATGGAAGCAAGTGGGCAAGGCCATGTTTCAATAAAACTTTATTTACAGAAATAGGCAGCAGACTGTAGCTTGCTGATCCCTGTTTTAGAATGTTGCTGTCTCTTGATCCAGATACTATTTTTGTATTCCAGAAATTGCCATTACTGGATGAAAATATTTCAAGCAAGTTAGACTTGTCTGATTTGATTTTGTTTTTTGTTTTAACCAAATAAATGGGTACTTTCTGGAAGACATGTTCCATAATGTGGCATCTTTTCCACATTTTGTCTTTGATTCTGAGGAATAGAAAGACACCTGAATTCCTTGAGTTGGGGAGTGGGGGTGGGGCCACAGAGTCTCCTCTTTGCTGTGGGGTGGGCACGGGCTGCCTCTGAGCCTGGCCCAGCAAGTGAGACTCTGGGCCACGTCTCCTTGGTGACCTTCCTCTGCCCTCTTGGGCTTCCTTTTGCCACAGCATCCCCCTGAGGAAGTGGGGTATGGCCAATGAGGTGGCCAGGGACAGGAACGCCCCCTTCCTGCCCCTTAGCTGGCCCCCAGTCCCTAGCTCTCGGGAGGCCGCTGACCCTTGGGTCCTCGATGTCCCTGCAGCCCTCAGACGAGGAGAACAGTGACAACAGCAACGAGTGCGTGGTGTGCCTGTCGGACCTGCGGGACACGCTGATCCTGCCTTGCCGCCACCTGTGCCTGTGCAACTCCTGCGCTGACACGCTGCGCTACCAGGCCAGCAACTGCCCCATCTGCCGGCTGCGTGAGTGGGGACTGCCGCACCAGGGCAGCCGGGGGGCTGAGAATGACAGAGGCCGTCAGCCTCCCACTGGGTGTACGGCAAATTGGAACTTGGTGGTTAACTTAGGTAGTTACTACCCACAGCAACTACATGGGCATATGGATGAATCAGATCCCCCCAAATCTGCCTCCAGAAAGTTAGACTTCCAGAACAGATGGCCAGGGCAGGTGTTTACAGTGAAATTGGAACTGGACAGAAATTGATCAGTGAATTAAATCCTTATTTTAAAGGTTATGTGGGAAATAATAGAAAATTAGAGTGAAATGGGGAGGGTGCTATTCAAGGAATTAAATCTGGTTTCCTGGAGCACTCCAGATATTTTTTTTTTAGTCAAAAGCCATCATGTTGGGTATAATTCTGAATAAAATACTTGTTTTCCAATAGAAAGAATCTAAACGTTCTTGGGATACAGGTCCCACTGGGTCAACATGAACATTAAGTGGGTGGGAGAGCACCTGCCTGGAGGGTCTGTGGGACATTTTCATTTAGTAGGTAAGTGGTGGCTTTTTAGAATACGGCTTTTCTGCAGTTTTACTCCTCAGCTACTGAGGCTCCACTCCTGAGCTCTGAGCCAGGACACCTGGTGTCATGCTTGCCCTGTCACTATCTTCGGACTCAGAAAGAACCTGCCCGAGGTTGTGGCTAACAAGGGGCAGAGGTAGGATTTAAACTAGGGTCCGGCCCAGAGCCCACACTCTTGCCCCCGCTGACCGGAACTGGCTGCACCAGGGGTGTGCCTGCACAAGGACCGTAGGGCAGGTTGGCCATGCGGAAGTGGAGGACGAGGCCACGTGGCCATGTGGTCTGAGAGGTCCAGTGCCTGGAAGGAAGCCCCAGCCTTGACGGGACTTGGAGGCTGTGCACTGGGCCCAGAGAGATGGGCAGCGGGGCTCTGCCCAGCTCAGTCAGTACAGCATGGAGGGCAGTGGCCTCTCCTGTCTGGGGGACAGGCTGGGAGCAGAGAGGCAGGGAGTAGGGAGTAGGGGCAGGGGGGCCGGGGTGGTGGCAGGATCCTGAGCTGGTGCTGAATTGCAGCCTCCCCGGCTCGCTCCAGCCTCCTGGGCATTCTCGGTGCAGCAGCGGCCCCAGGGCTGGTGTTTGTAACACTTGGGCTGGCAAGATGGGCCAGGGCCTGAGGCCTGAGCCAGAGGTGACTGCTGTCAACCCTGGGGACTCAGTCGTTGCTCATCTTTTGAGAGGGTGCAGCTGATAACGTTTGTGACTCTTACGTGTGTGCCCTGCACTTTTTATTTAACTGCGTCTCACGAATGTTATCCTTTTGTGAGTGGAACTGACACTACAGGGTGACCGGTAGCCTGTGTCCCAGCTTATTTTCCCAGCTCCCTGTGCTGTTTCTAGTTTTCCCCAGTGTAGATAAACATTGTGCTGTCGTGAATGTCCGTGTACACACGCCGGCCTCCTGCCCGTTGGTTGCTTCTTCCTTGGTATAGCTTCCAGGAAGAGACCTGTGGTGTCCAGGAAGCACCGTGTGCTTCCAGCTGGTTGGCATTTGTAACTCGCAGCCACGTTCACTGTCTAATGTACAGTACAGAGTGTAGCGGGTGAGAGGCCGGCTACGCCATGCTTGCTGCCCCTGAAAACTCTGTCCGAGCGGAGACAGGCCATCCTGGCCTCTTTTCCTGTTGGGGATATTTCGTTGTGACTCTGTTCACCTGATTTGGAAACTTGGCTTGTCCCAGGACTGTTGTGGCGTGGGCGGGTGGTCCCTGGAGTTTGGAGGGTCTTGGTGGTGCTGGAACCAGCCCTTGCCTGACACCAGCCCTTGCTTTCCTTCCTTTCTGCCACAGCTTTCCGGGCCCTTCTGCAGATCCGGGCAGTGAGGAAGAAGCCAGGCGCCCTGTCCCCTGTCTCCTTTAGCCCTGTTCTGGCCCAGAGTATGGACCACGATGAGCACTCTGTAAGTGCCTCTTTCTCCCTGCATTGGAGGGTGTTGTGGCGGAGAGAAGAGGGGGTCTGGAGGAAGCCCCTGCCCACTCTCCAGGGCCTGACAGGTGTCCAGATGCTTCCAGGGCCTGCCTTTGTGTCTGGCTCCCGGTTGGACTGGGTTGATCAGGCAGGCCAGAAGGAGACCACCTGGGCACCCTTGGGGCAGTCAGTACCCAGGCAGGACCCAGACTGTCTAGATAGCACCTTCACCTGCTGGCTCTGTGGTCCTCTGTCCTCATCTGCCCAGCGTGGCCCCACAGGTGGCTGTGAGGCCGAGTGGGGTGATACAGGCTGGGCCGGTGAGCTCCAGTTGCAAGGATTGCTGGCAATGGCAGGTGCCCCTTCACTGAGCTTGAGCCATGGTGTCTGTCACCGTTGCTCTAACAGGTGAGACAGCTGGGGTACTCTGTGGGTCTTGGGAAGTGAGGTGGCCTTCAAAGAGTGGCTCTTAGATGCCCTCCGTGCGTTCCCTGCCCACCCTTCCCCAGCCTGGGCGCATAGGAGGGCACCTCAGCAACTGGCCACCGCCCTTGCTCCCTGAGAAACTGTGAGGTGGACCTTGCTGCAGGCAGACGAGGGGAGTCAGACTCTGGCTTTGGGGACCTCTCGAGAGAGATGGGCAGAGACATGAAGAGAGAGAGACACACAGAAAAACAGAGAGATATATGGGCAGAGACAGGTGCCGACCCAGATGGGCAGAGACATGTGGAGACATGGAAATGCAGAGAGAAGGGGAGAGATACCACACAGAAAAACAGAGAGATATATGGGCAGAGACATGTGAAGACATGGAAATGCAGAGAGAAGAGGAGAGATATAGAGAGAAAGGGGGAGAGACAGACAAAGGGACAGAGTGATACAGAGACAGAAAAGAGACACAGCAGGGAAGAGAGTGAAAGGGAGCTACTTGGAGATGGACAGACAGGGAGAAAGATGGAAAGAGACATGAAGAGTGACAGAGACAGGGATAGGGCAGAAAAGAGGGCAGATGGGGGAGGAAGGACCAGGGAGCAGGTTGGGACAGGCCCGGGTCCCGAGTTCCCAGATCCCAGGAGGCTGCGAGTGTTGTCTGCTGCGAGTCTGTTTCTTGGCTCTCGACTGAGGTTGTTTGGACTCAGCGATTCTTAGAGAATCACTGAGAAAAGGACCCAAACCCTCTGATTGGCACCCTCCAGGGTGGGCTCCTGCACTGGGCTTGTGGGTGTGATGTGTTTGACCCACACAGTGTTTCTGAAAATTGGGCCAATATTTAAAAGTCTGGAAATTTCCCTGAAAACTCAGATTTCTGGCTTCTCTTTCAAAGTCTGAAGGTGTGGTCTTGCAGCTGGCACAGAGGCAAGGCTGCCCCTGGGGACAGGTCCCCGTCGCCCCTCTTTCTCTGGGGGTAGCCACACTGTTTTACCTGTGGACCCTGTCAGCACAGGGCCAAGGACTCGGAAACTAAGCCCTCCACTGTAACGTTGGACTCGATTACGATGCTGCACTTTTTCTCCAACAACGTATTTTTGGGGGAAAGAGGAATAGCACTTAGGCATGTTTTGCCCCTGGGAAGAGAGGACTCTGGCTATTTCGCAGAGGAGCAGCTGCTCAGGTGGTGGGGTTTTATTGTCGTTTGTGTGTTGTCCTCCCGGTTTTTGCCCCAGTGTCTGAGGGTCAGGCTGGATCCTCCTGTGTTTGTTCCCCTTTATCCTGAGAGCCATGGTGCTGTCCATGGTGCAGGTGGGCTGGGGCTCAGGTGGTGACCCAGCACCTTCTTCTCTGGAGGTTAAGATCTCCAAATAAATGGGTTCTTCTTCTCTGCTGCATCTCCTGTACAGGCCATTTCCACATAGTACCACAGAGAGCCCGAATTAGGCATTTTCTTCATGGAGTCCATTAAGATCATCGCAGAGTGGGTGATTTGGGGCTGATTTTTCTCCCTAGCCTCTGTTAGGACTTAGATATAGGTGATAAGTTTATGAGGCCGGGCCAAGCCTCATGGAGGCACCTGGGGCCTGGGAGTCCCTTCTCCATGCCCAGCCAGGCCCACTTGTGAGGAGCAGCCGGCCACTGTCACACCTCCCTACCCTGGACTTGCTGCTCAGGGAGACCCAGACCGTGGGCGGGCATTAGGGATGGGATCAGGCTCTAACTGCAGCACGGCTCCTGGAGCTTCATGGATGTGCAGGCCCAGCCCAGACCTGCGTTTGCAGGGCCCCCGCAATTCACTTGCATGTAAAGTTTGCAGAGCACTGGGTCAGTGGCGCTTGTGGAAGCCAGCAGATGAGACAGACCCCACCCAGCTCCAGGGCCATACGGGGGGGTGCTAGTTGTAAAATGTATGATTTTTATCTTGACAGTGTCCCTTTAAAAAATCAAAGTCGCACCCCGCCTCACTGGCCAGCAAGAAACCTAAAAGGGAAACTGTAAGTGTGTTTGGCCCTGTGGCCACATCTCTGCCCCTCACCCTGATTATTAAGCCAATGACAAGTACAGGAAGTCATTTTCACCCCCGGCTGACGTGTTTGGTTAATTTAATCTGTCAAATCCACTCTCCCCAGTCCCGGCGTCCCTGCCCAGGAAGGGAGTTTTGTGGAACAAGCAAAGCTCAAGGTCTGTTGGCAAAAAAACCAGTCTCGTGGGTCCTCGCTGCCCGGCGACATACCGGCCTCAGGCCACCCCTTCCCGCCAGCTCTGCTTCCGCCCGTGGTCCCCATTGCCCTTGTTTCCCTTTTTTTTCTTGCTGGCAGTGGAACGATGTTGGAGGTGGAACTAATGTGGCTGCTAAATTTTGCAAATAGCATTCCTGGCGCTTGCTTGTCATCCCGCATCCCCTGCCCTTCACCCCTTGGGTTTTAGTTCTCTGGGCCAAGGACTTGGTTTTCTTGCATTTTCCCTGCATCTCAGGAAGCAGGCTGGGGGCCAG